TGTCTGAGTCTTCGTTTGATAGACAGGACACGGGGCCCAGAGAGGGGCTGCGACTTGCTCAGGGTTGCGGAGCGAGGCCCTGGCGGAAGCAGAGCGATGGGCAGGCGACCTGGTTGCGGGGCCTTAGGGCTGGCAAGGAGCAGAACTGCCTCAGGTGCTGAGCCGCCTCCTAGGGCTACAGGTGTGTGGCCAGCCTGCCGCCCAGGGAGAGGAGGCACCGGTCAGGGCAGGGTCCCCGGCCTTGGAACCTCCAACCTGTTGCCTTCCGATGAATAGTGTCCATGCCCGCCCTGAGGCGGGGCCCAGCAGAGGCCGAGATCCTGAGTCCATGGCCCTCTGCCTGGCTGTGCTGTGGCTCCAGGGCCTGTCCCTGGCCCTCTCAGAGGTCTGGGGCCAGCAGCAGGGCTCCCAGACACGGGGGGGGGGGCTCCCCAGGGGCACCTCCGGCTGCTCTGCCTCCCCGCCCCTCCTCCCGGGGCTGCCTTCCTGTTTCTTTCTGGCCCCCAGACTCCTCTGGGGCCCCAGCCCGCCCCACGGGGCTCCTCCTCCTTCAGCCCACGGTGGAGTGTGTGACCACTGCCCCCCCCCCGGGGCCCCCAGGCAAGAGGGAGGTTGAGGTGGCGGGGATGAGGGAGAGCAGGCTGGCGCCCCTTCCCTAACATCCCCGCTGCCCACCAACCGCCAGAGAAACGGGGATTTCTGGGCTAGGGTGGGGCAGAGATGAAAGATGAGGGCAGCAGAGGGGAGCCAAGCAGGGAGATGGGGTAGCGGCGGGCTTGCTCCGGGCAAGGGCAAGCAGGCCCGAGGAGCAGGCTTGATCCAGAATGGTCCCGGGACGGCCGCGCGGGCCTCAGACCCCAGGGACACCACCACGCGGCCCACGAGGGCGCCGGCCGGCCGGCCGGGGAGGGACTGTCCTCCCGCTCCCGCGTCTGCTGCAGGCCAGGGCCAGGCGCCGCCTCCTGGTCCGGCGGGCGACCTCTCACGCCTCGGTCTCTGCCGCTGCGTCGCGCCGCAGGCCCTCGCCTGTGCTCGTACCTCTTGTCCCCCTCAGCGCTCTGGGTCTGCTGGGTTCCTGGGTTTTGCAGGTCAGGGATATTGGCAAAGTCATCCTGCTCCGAAAGCCCTAAGACCAAGGATAGCACCACCATCCGGCCTTCCCTGCCCGGGGCGGGCAGCCCACCAGCCAGCCGGGGTGAAACAGGAGGCCCCAGGGGCAGGGGCGGGAAGGGAAGGAGAGAGACAGAGACAGAGACAAAGAGAGAGAAGAAAACAGCGTAAGAAACTGGCCCTGCAGGAGAGAAACCAAACTTCAGCACTGTCAACAGGTGTAGAGCAGAGTGGGGCTGGCAGGGAGGAGGGAGGGGGTGTCTGCGCCCCTGGGCCCCACGCCCTGGGGGCCAGAGCAAGGTTCTCTGGGGGGAGAGGAGGCCGGTAGGGCCGAGGCTGCTGTGACGGGGACTTTGCTGGGGAGTAGAGCACAGGCCCTGGGCACCCTGACTTTGGGGCCCGCCTGCTGGAGCTCCACAAAGGCCGGACCGCAGGCCCCCGGGGGGGGCTCTGTTGCCTTCGTGCTCCAGGTCTGTGCAGGCAGGTGTGGCCTTCCAGGCGGGAGGTTCTTAGAAAGTCTGGGATCCAGTGGGCACCATGCCCTGTGCCGTGGAGCTCCAAGAGAGACATGCCTCGGGGGCACACTTGGCAGGTGTCCTGGATGCCCCAGGTCCCCCCAGGTCCTCGGACACACCCACCAGAGGAGTGCGGCCCCCTTTCTGCACATGGGTGCTGGCCCTGGTGGCCTGCTGAGTCTGCCTTCCTGGGGAGCCGGAGCGACCGCCAAGGCTCTGGGGTCTCGGAGACGCGGTCCGGAGGGCACCAAAAGGGAAGTGGAGAGAAAGCGCAGGAGCGTGGTGTGGCCCAGAGGTCTCCTGGCAGGGCAGAGGGGAGCCTGTGTCCACCGCAGGGGGGTCTGGACGAACCTCGCTCTGAGGGAGACCCAGTCCAGGCAGACGGGACAGAGCGAGCGAGGCCCTGGAACAGGCCAGGGGTCAAGGTCATCATTCCCAGGCCAAAATGGGTCACAGTGGGGTCACCTGCATTTTCCAAAACATCTGAAAATTCATGGGAGTTTTCTAGAAGCTCATCCAGCGTTGGGACCCCCCTCCAATGGCAGGAAGGGATGTGGAGGTTTCCAGGATGGGGCGGGCAAGGAAGCAGGACTCAAGAAAGGCCTAGAGGAGACCGCGAGTCTGGTGGAATATCCTGGAGGCGAGGGGCACGGGGTGAGGTGTACCCCATCAACCACCACCCAGGAGGGTGAAGTTCCGGGAGGAGGAGCTGGCTGCGGCTACTTCTTGGCCAGGCTGTTCGAGAGAGAACTCTGTAAGAACAGCACCTGAGTGGGCAGAGGGGGCTCGGGGACCCCAGAAAGTGGGGTGGCCATGGGGCCCGAGCAGGAGGGGCTGAGCAGCTGCTTCCGGCTGCCGCCTCTGTCCTGGCTCGGTTACTGCAGGCTGGTACCTGTGTTGGCATCGAACTTTGGGGAAACGACTCCCCCCTGCCCCCAGGACAAAGCCTCATTCCTCAGTTCTCTGCCCACCCATCCTGTTTTAGAGTCGGTAAAACTCCATTTGGCTGCTTGGGAGCCAGCTGAGCTGGGGGAAGGCGAACCCAAGGCAAACGACATGTTTTTCCCTGGCTAATGCATTTTTCAGACGTTCCTTTTGCTCGTCTTGAAAACAAAGCCGCTCTTCTCCACAGACCCGTTTGTCATTCTCTGCTGCACCACAGGCTGCAGGGTTGAGACAGGGATGTGGGGAGAAGCTGGTAGTGTTGGGGGATCACACCCAGCAAGCAGGAGGAACGTCTCCGTCCCCACTAGAAGGTGGGATTGGGGGGGGAGCTGGTCAGCACGCTCACCCCAACTCTTCAGCTGTACCCCCAGCACGGGGCAGGGGTGTGGGGGCTAGGGAAGGGCCTCGGCCACCTGCCAGCCGCTGCCAGGCAGGGTCAGGGCGGCAGACTCCAGCTGGTGGCCTGCTTTCATAGAGCCCACAGCTAAGAATGGTCTGTACATTTTTAAATGTGATAGGGACCACATGTGTCCTGCAAAGCCTAGAATATCTGGCCTTTGACAGAAAAAAGAATGTGGACCCCTGCTGGGAGGGCTGACAAGTAGGGGGAAGGGGGGCGCCAGAGTGGAGCTTGTCCAGTCCCGCTGGACAAGGGGGGCCCAGGGAGGACGCTCGTCCAGTCCCGCTGGATTCCAAGGGCCGGCCTGCACCTGCGTGGAGATGGCAGCTATGCCACTCCAGTTTGCCAAGCAGCCGGTCCTGCCCGGAGGGCCACAGGCCACCTGTGGCAGGGGCCGCAGCCTGGGGTGCAGCGCCTGCCAGCCCTGGAGGCTTCGGTCAGAGGCGGGATGTCTGGCGCAAAGGCGGGATGTCTGGCGGGACTTGCTTGCCCACGGAAGCCCACATCTTTCCAGGGAGTTGGCCTCGGCCTTCCCTGCCTCCTCTCCCCAGGCTTCGCGTGCTGGTCTGCTGAGAAAAGCGCTTGTCCCTGGGGGGAGGGGGGGGACCTGGGAGATAAATAATCCCCGAGAGCCTGGAAGGAAGGTCACGTTAGGCTGGAGGGCGTGGCGAATTGGGGTGGGGCCCAGGCCTGCTCTGGGCTCTGAGAGGGAGTGCCATGGGCAGGGGTCATGCCGAGGGCCAGCTGGGCGCCCTACCAGCCAGGGCAGCAAGGGCGGGGGGAGGGGGTGGACAAGGGGGTGGATAGGTCGGGTCTGGACATGTACAGGGAGGTCCTGAGTGGGAAACGACATTTTCTCTGCCTTGGAGAGGACATCCAGGGCCTGTCTTCCCGGGTCATGGCAGGAGCTGGAGGACAGGTGGCTCCAGAGGCGCCACAGGGGAAGTGGGGGAGGGAGGGAGGAAGGGGCAGGAAGGTAAACAGAGTCGGGTTACAGGGCAGACACCCAAGGGGGGGGCAGGCTGGGCCTGGGAGGTGGGGGAAGGAGCCAGAGCTGGGGAGGCGGGGAGAGATGTGACAGGAGCCTGGACAGCCAGGGGAGGCAGGAGCAGCTGGAGACCAGCTGGGAGGCGGGTGCTTCTGGGGACCTTGGCGGCGGGAGGTGCCTAGTGTCAACACACATTTCGGGGGGGCAGCTTCTTCCAGCCCCGGAGGCACAGGGAGGGGGGCTGGTGTTCTCAGCAGTGGGCCACTACTTATGAATCCTTTCATGGGGGGCTTTGAGCCCCGAGAGGCGGGGGCGGGGGCGGAGGGGGTGGCCAGTCTGCTTGGCACCCGGCCCAGGAGCAGAGCCTGGCAGCAGGCTGGCTGCTCTCTGGGAGACACAGGGGAAGAGGCCGGGGTGGAGGGGGGCCGGCCGCTCAAGGGGGGACTTACAGGAAGGATTTCATGTCCAAGCCTCGGTTTCGAATCTGCCCCACCACGTGGTCCCAGCTGCCCGGGTTGGAGCGGCTGCGGCCCCCGGCCGCCCGGTGCTTGGAGCCAGCGGAGGCGCCCTGGCGAGCCTGGCCGCGGCCGTGGACGGGGCCCCGGGGGCCGGGGCCGGGGGCCGAGGCCGCGTGGGCCTGCAGCTGGCCCAGGCTCTGGCTGGTGGTGGGCTGGCTGGGCTGCCGGCCCCGCTGGTGCTGGCTGAGCGGCTGCTGCAGGCTCTGCTGACGCACCAGGGTGCGGGGTCGCTGGCATTTCGGCTCTCCCGCGGAGCTGGGGATGGACTCTAAGGTAGTGGCCGTGGACAGGGTGGAGTCCTCGAAACTTGGGGCGGGTGAGGAGAGGAGAGAAAGGAGAAGCAGGTGAAGGGATCACAGTGGAGGAGAGAGACCGAGGGCCGGGACTGGGAGGCCCCAGGGCGGGGCGCGCTGGCCCTCCAGGCCTCCGTCGGTGCTGCCGCTGCTGGTTGCCGCCACCACGTCAGCCCAGAGGCCATCGAGGCCTGTGCCCACCCCAGGCCCCCAGGCTGCCCCGCCCAGCCCCCCTCTGGCCCTGGCTCAGCCGGTGCTGGTGCCCCTCCCTCTCCAAGCGCCGGGGAGCCCCGGAGGCTGCGGCTGCTGTGTGGCGAAGGCGGCCCTGGGGTCACCTGGCCTGTTGGAATGGGAGGGGCAGGGCGCTGCGGCCGCCCCCCACCGTCTCACAGGGGGACCCAGGAAAGTCAGTGTTCCAAGTCCGACCGGCCTTTGGAGACACCAGGAATCCAGGCCAGGCACAGACAGCCTAGTCGTGCTTGGGGAGTCTGGCGGGGGGTGGCGAGAGTCCGCGGTTCCTGCACTCTGTCCCCGGGGCGCAGAGGGTCCTTGGGCTCTCTGACCGCTGTCCTGTGGTCACAGTGGCCTCGGACTCAGCTCCAGGGCAGCTCTTTGCCCCCTTCCAGGCTGTGGGTTCCTGCGGCTCGTGCCTGGGAATGACTCCTAGCCAGAGGCAGCCAGGGAGGGAGTAGGTGGGAGCCCCAGCACCCACTTGCCAGCCACTTTGCCACAGATCTGAAGGAACAGGGACACTGTCCAGTCCTCTATGCTGTCACAAGGGGCCCCAGACCCTCGGGCTCACTGGTACCTCTGCAGCAGGCTGGGGCTGGAGCAAAGATGGCGGGGACCAGGACTGAGCCCAGCAACTGTGGGGTCAGAGACTCAGGGCCCAAACCCACTTGGCCGCCGACTACCTGTGGGACTCTGAAAACATGAGAGCCACCTTGGCTTCTTTACTGTAAATTGGGGGTAAAAAAATACCCTCAAACTGCCTCTGAGGGGGTTGCCAGGAAGACCTAGCGAGGCGGGGTCCAGGCTGGGGGGCACCGGTGCAGATGTCAAGGGGGCTGGAGGCACAGGAGCCCGGGCCACCCCGCGCTCCGTGGTCTGGGCAGGCCCATCGGGCACCCGCTGGCCGGGCCAGCGCCTCCGAGGTCCCAACCTCCTCTGTCCCTTCCCTCCGTCTCCCAGTCCAATGGTCTCAGGCAGGGGCTGGCAAACTCTGGCCTGTGGGCCCGATGTGGCGAGCCACCTGCTTCTGTAAGCGAAGCTTTCGTGGAGGGCAGTCTCAGACTTTACAGATCATCCACAGAGACTCTGGGAAGCTCTGGGGTCACCAGGACAAGAGCCTGGCCTCGCCTGGCCCTCTACAGAGAAAATTTGCCAACTCCCGGGGTTGGACTATGCTCTGGGTAGCCTGGGGCTGCCCAGGCAGGAGGCCCCAGGGCCCCAGAGCCACGTTCGCCACAGCAACCAGGCCTCCGCTCTGCTCGCCCCCCTGAGCTCACCCTGGGAACCAGAGGACAACAGTCAGGCTGCCCCTGTGGGCCGGAGAGAGAAAGAGCGAGAGCCAAAGAGGGAGAGAGAAAGTCAGAGAATAGTGAGAGAATGAAAGAAAGAGAGGAAAAGCAAAACGTGGGTCTTGGGGTGGGGGGCAGCAGCCTTGCCTGGCTCGGGCCCGGAATTAGGGCTACCGCCAGGGCAGGCCCAGGCCTGGCGGCCAGGTGGACCCTCAGCTCCCTGGGGGCCGACCGAGGCGGGGGAAGGACGGCCCTCGGGCGGCCGCCTCTTCCTCCTTGCTCACCTCATTTTGGTTTCCTATCACATCCAAAATTAGTCCAATTTACAACCTCTCAGTCACAGGAAACTAAAATTGGCTCCTCCAGGCCCGGAGCCAGCGGAGGGCATGGAGGCCTCCGCCAGCCTGGAGTCTGTGGCCGGAGCGGCGTGGGGAGGGCGGGGCACGGGGCTCTGAGAGCGAGGGGCTTCCCTCCGGGACCCTCCTAAGACCTGGTGCCCGGGAGAGGTCTGCGCTTTCTCAGGTCATCAGGGAACGTGGTGCCGGCACAGCGACCCCCAGGGGCCCTGACGGTGGCAGTCACGGGTCTCCTGGAGAGATCTGGGGGGCTCTGAACTGACGCAACAGGACAGCTAAGAAAGGGTCAGAGCTACTGGCCTCCTGAGCGAGGCGCCGCTCCATTAGCAGGGAGTGAGGCAGCGCTAATAGCCGAACCTGGAGCCTCGGTCCCAATGGGAGACGATAGTCATAGTTCAAGGGGTTTCGAGCCCGGAAGGCCTCAGTGGAGGGGAAATGGAAGGTTGTGAAAGCCAAGAGCGGGGGTAAGACCGCCCCATGGTGGGGGGAGGGGAGCACTGTCTGCTCAGCACAGGGGCCAGCTCCCCCCTGCCCTCGCCTGAGGGTGGGGCAGCTGCTTGGCAAAACTTGGACAGCTCGTTAGAAGCGAGCAGCTCTGGGTCTGGTGTCCAGACCACCTCGTCAGCAAAGAGAAGCTCGCCAGACCCACAGCCCCAGCTTCCAAGAGCACACGAGCCCAAGAGCTGACGGTCTGGCTCGCTGACCAAGACTGGGGCAGCCGAGGGGGGTGTCTGAGATGAGGGCGAGCCGACGGGGACAGCTGGCTGCTTGTGGGGGGCTCTGTCACGGGGGATGGTGCAGGCAAGGCAGAACCAGCCCACGGAGTCCCCTGACGCTCAAACTGGAAGGGCCCAAACTGGAAGGGCCCAATCTGGAAGGGCCCAAACTGGAAGGGCCCAAACTGGAAGGGCCCAATCTGGAAGGGCCCAAACTGGAAGGGCCCAATCTGGAAGGGCCCAATCTGGAAGGGCCCAA